AGGTGATTTTCCTTTCTCAACAAGGACTTAATCCACTATATCAAACTTGATTACAGTGTAAACCACTAAGACAACTGTCTTAGTCTTCTCAAGAAAATCTAACCACAACTTGGTCTTCTTAAGCAAATCTTTTACAAAGATAAACTAACAATTTGTGTTTAATGTTTTGCTTCTAACAAGCTATATCACAACAGTGATGTTTACACTAAATTAAGAACAAATATGAAAACTGTAAGCTTGAAGAATATTTGAATGAGAGCTTGTGAGTTGATTTTCTTTCAAATGATTTTTGCAATATTCGTCTATATGCATCAACGTTGGAAAGATGCTGAAGCTTGTTTAAATACTACTTCAAGTCCTTATCTCAAAGACTGTGCATTGATGTACGTTCTGCTGCCTCTGTTGCCTTTTTGTCCTCTATTGACTTTTCCTTTCCAGGAAGAGGAATGTTCAGATATGTGCTTTGTGTCTGAATTCTTGTGTCATGCATAAAAGAGGAATAGTGTCGTTAGAGCAGACGTTGGGATTAGCAACGGATCTTTTCTTTGAGCTGGCATTTTTTCAACTGAGTAAACCAACATCAGATCCTCTGATGTAGTTCCTTGTTCTTCAGATCAGAGTCTTGCATCAATAGTGCTAAAGCGTGAATGTTGCAATCAGTGCAGAGTTGAATATCAGGGCTTCTGTACTTGCAGCGTGAAGTACTTCCAGAGTCTTCTGAAACAATGTTGTGCGCTCTTTACTCAAATTATTCTTAGTTTCACTCAGAGTCTTTTGTAGCAGATCAGAGTCTTCTGAAATGTTGCTTCTGACGCTCAGAGTCTTAACGTTCTTTTCAGATGTAGATGTAATTTTTGCTTCCAGAAGAATATATAATTTAAGATCTGAAACAAAATTACTTAAACACAATTAGAGTATATATTTCCTTTATGCAAAATTTCATTTATGTTATCATCAAAACAATGAGATATATTAAACACCAATTTGTGTTCTAACACTAACTTCTGGCGGTGCAGAATCTGAAGAACACTCTCTAAGTGATGTCTGGCATAAACTCTGAAGCTGAAGGTTTAAGCATTAGAAGAAGAAACATTATTATCTCTACACTTGGTGAATGTAAATTGGCTTCAGGTGATCATTTTAGAGTTAGTGATAAAGTTGAAGTTGTCCGTACTGCAGAAAGCAAGCTGCATTGTCAAATCAGTTTGTCAGCTAGAGTCTTAGTTCAAAAGGCTCAAAAAAAGTTGGCACGCTTTACGGATGTCTACTCTCAAAGTCTCTATAGTACATGATCTCTTCGAAGACTCAATTATTAAACACGATACACAATGGATCAAGATCTTTTGGTGTATCTATCTTTAACGTCTCTTGTACTAAGGAGAAAATAAAGACACTTGATTAAGTTATCTCTCCAACATCTAGTCTTCTTTAAATGATATATAAGTAGTTGAAGGTTCAAACTGAATCTTCAAAAAGGATCAACCTAATGGAGGAGTAACAAGATCAATAATTATCAACACAATTAGTTATGTAGAATTTATGTTGTAGGTTGTAATTGTAAAAACTTAGGATTTCTAACACATTGAATACCTCAGAAATCTTAAGAGCTTTAGGTCTTTACTATGGTGATTTCCCCGCACCTTTGATATTTATATCAAGTACACCTTATTCTCTATTCTGCTGAACATGTTGTTTAGCAATTTAGATCAAAGTCTCTCGACAAGATACTTGAGCCATGTAAGTCTCCTGCTATGTGCTAGAGCATTGAAAGTATTAATCAAGTGTAATGGTTGAGTAGAAGTCTTATGTTTTTGGAACCTAAGCAAGGAAGTAAGGAATCGAGGATTTGAGCAGAACGCTTGAGCCTGTGAGGCTTAAGCAGGAAGTCTTGAACCTGAGGGGTTTAAGCACGAAGCCTTGAGTCATAAGGGTTTGAGCAGGAATTCTCGTGTTTGAGGGGCCTGAGCAGGAAATTTTTAGGTTGCGGTCTGAGCAGGAATTCTCGAGCCTGAGGGGATTGAGAAGGAAATCCTTAAACTGAGGGTTTAAGTAAGGAAGTTTTGGGTCTGTAGGACTTGAGCAAGAAAGTATTGAGCCTTAGGGGTTTAAGCAAGAAGTCTCGGACTTAGGGTCTGAGCATTATAAAAGTCTTATGCAGAATGGATAAGCGAATGTAATCAAGATTTGGTTATAGTGAAAATATCTTATAAAGTAAAGGGATTGGACTAGTCTCATTTTAGAGGAACCGGTATAAATTTTTGTGTCTTCTGCTATTATTTATTTGCTTCTGTTAACATTCTGCTGCTAAGTATAATCAAAATCTGAACACCAGTTTAGATTCTGAACTCTGATCCGACGCAAATCAAGAAAACAAAAACACAATTCAACCCCCCTCCCCTTCTTGTGTACTTTTTATCACCTTCATATTCTCCTCAAAACCATTATGGCTATGCAAAGGGTATTACCTCTCTCATGGCCTCATCCACCAAACTTTCCAAGGTTGGATCTGATCAAGTATCGAATCCTACATATTTTAGGTCTATTGTTGATGCTTTGCAGTATGCCACAGTGACTAGATCTAAAACATACTTTGTTGTAAACAAAGTATGCCAATTATCATCTAATCGTCTTGAAGACCATTAGAAAGTAGTGAAAAGAATTCTCAGGTACCTTCAGGGCACAATTAGTCATGGCCTCCTACTTTCTCTAGTCAATATGCAACTCCCTCTCATAATCACATGATTTTGTGATGTAGATTGGGCCTATGATCCTGATAAAAGGAGGTCCACGTCAAGTGCTTGTGTATACTTGGGTCCTAATTTGATTTTTTGGAGGGCTAAAAAGTATACCTTAGTCACCAGGTCTAGTGCAGAGACTGAATACATAAGTATTTCTCATGTTACAGATGAGATCTTGTGGCTTCGATCTCTCCTTAAGGAACTACATTTCAAACATCAAACTCCAAATGTGTTATGTGACAACCTAAGTGTTGTTTCCCTGGCCCACAATCTCGTGTTATACTCCTAGGAAAAATATATGGAGCTTGACATCTTTTTTGTCAAGTTTATGAACAAGAACCAAGCTATGACTCATATACATCCTCAAGATTAATGGGTTGATGCTCTCACCAAGACCCTATCCACCAGCAAATTTCTTGCTCTCAAGATTAAAGGCAGAGGTGTTGACAAATTTCACTTGATCAACCACCTTGAGTTTGAGGGGGAATATTAGAATATAACTAGTATTGAACTTGTCTAATGTAAGAGGTTAGGCCCTATCCCATTAACCTCTCCCTAATAGACATCAGTTAGGTATAATTGAATTCAATTTGATGTAACTAGTGCTTTACCTCTATATAAGAAAAATTGTAACTAACTTCTAACTAATTAATCATAATATCAGTTCTCTCTCTCTCTCTCTCTCTCTCTCTCTCTCTCTCTCTCTCTCTCTCTCTCTCTCTCTCTCTCTCTCTCTCTCTCTCTCTCTCTCTCTCTTTGACCAACTACAACTTCTAGCACAGGAAGACAATGTCAAAGAGACATGCATCCGAGTCAAATGAAGTTTCTCCGACTATAGGTCGTGAGGGTCTAACTTTTTCCATATGAACGAAAACATATTGGTGCTAGGAAACAAGTGTGAGTTGTGTGGAAAAATAAGTGTGAGTTCTAAGTCGCACATTCCTTAGAAAAATGGAGGTTAAGGACTTTATAAGTAAGAGGACTCATACACCTATCACCTTAAGGTTTTTGGTAAATATGTGGTGTGTCTCTCCATTGTTTGGATGAGTCTTTGATCTTTAGGTGAATGTTTAACCCAATGTGAATGTTTCTCCCTCATGATTACCCATCAGTGATATCAAAGTCCGGTTCGAGTAAGGGACCGACTCCTTGTGTCGGAAGTCTTTCTGACATTGTGGTCAGGCGGCGTGTCCGATATAAGTGTCCATGATGAGATAATGGTGTCTCTTAATGGCGGTACAAGCATGTGGATGTACTCACACTTGAGGGGGAGATTGTTAGGAAATAAGTATGAGTTGTGTGGAAAAATAAGAGTGAGTTTTAAGTCCCACATTATTTAGAAAAGTGGAGGTTAAGGACTTTATAAGTAATAGGACCCATATACCTATCACCTTAAGGTTTTTAGTGAATATGTGGTGTCTCTCTCATTTGGTTGGGTGAGTCTTTGATCTTTAGGTGAGTGTTTAACCCAATGTAAATGCGATGGATTCAAACTTGTGCCTTTACATTTAATGTCCCTGCACAACTATCAATTGAGCTGCTTTAACGAGACTATATATATATATATATATATATATATATATATATATATATATATATATATATATATATATATATATATATATATATATATATATATATATATATATATATATATATATATATATATATATATATATATATATATATAACTGATAATTAAGGCAAAGCTTTTCATGCATTGATAATGAAGTAACTGGTGAGTAAATGCTTTATTATCCAGGCGTGGATTTTATTTTTCTACAATTCTTCTATCTTCTGATGAGTACCCTTCTTTGACACTCTTATTGTCCATTGCTCAAACATTTGTGTTTGTGACAGTTCATCTGCTATTGATAAGAACAAACTCAATGATATTTTGCAGCAAGGAACACTAGATGTTACATCTCAAAAAATTGTTTAACAGGAATTATCTCCTTCAGACTTCCCAGATTACCAACTGATTTATCTGAAATCTTCTTGGCTGGGAGGTTCGTTGAAGCATAGAGAGGAATTTTCTGAGATATATTTGATTGAAGAACAGAATGAATATTGAGACACCACTTAGAATAGTGATAGGAAACTCATTATGAAGATGATATTCTTTGTATTTGATTAACAGAAGTAACATTTTGTGATAGCTTCTATATATTGAAAGTGAAAACAAAGCTTCTCATACTCGATTTATTTTCCTAATCGATTACATAAGATCAAAGATCAAATAAAATGGAGCCTCATGAGGTTCTATATAGTTGGAAGTGATTTTCCTTCCAAAAATGCCTTAAACAACACCAATGATCTCCTTGGTTGTGAAAATGGAGCCTCGTGAGCTGCTCCTCTTATGGTTGCAAATGATAAAATGTTACTACCATATACTTGTGTCCATCCACCTACCTGTCTTTCCTTAAACCAAGCTCTATAGGTCTCTGTTGTGTTCAACCCAATGTCCTTGGCTAATCCATTTACTAAAGAACGCGTCCCGGTTAAAGGTATAACCGAATCTTGATCTCCGCTGCAGCGAAATATAGGTATGCTTGATCAATCAAAATTATATAACATTGATTAACCAATGGTATGAATCAAAGTAAAGAGTATGTTACCTGTATACTAGAACTCTTACACCTGATTTAACGAGTGTCCCTAGAATCGATATAGTTGGAATCTCTAGATTTTGCATATCATATTTGAGAACTCTGTAACACAAAGGAAATGCTATTAACACTCATTTTGTAATTCTATTTATAATGCTAATTAGTCTCTGTAACATACCTGTGATTACGTTCAATTTATTCATGTTTTCAAATTATTATCAGCATTAGTGTTAGTGTCTTTGTGCCTCATAGTAATTAATCATCATTCATGCTATATGACTTACTCACTACAAGTGAACCATGTGGTGATGATCCCTACAAGCTTAGCATGGAGAGCTTCTTGAACTTCTTTTCTATTCAAGTATTTGAATGATTCATCTTCCACACAAACATCTATCTTATCTCCCTCTTGCTAAACCATGGATGAAAGCAAACATAAGAGAAAATGAACAGAAAAACAAAAGAGAATCTAAACTAGATTGAAAGAGAATGGATGAAGGGTATATACCAGTTGAGTCAGCCTATATGCCTGTTGATTTAAGGATGGAAGACAGACATCAAGAGTAACATCATACGAATCGATATATCTACTAATCTGTCGATTAGATGTTAGTTTAGTGGTAAGAGTTAGATTTTGTTACTTTAAATATTCGGAGTTCAAGAAAAAAAAGTTATGTACTAACCTCCGTTGAGACTAGTCTATTCACTCTTGCACAAATGGGACTAAGTGCTCCATGTTGATATTGTCTTCTAATTTGGGAATAGTTGCATATCTTTGTAAAGGCTTCATAGGTTGAATCTGATATCAGTCCATGAGACCAGATAAACTCAGCTCTTGAGTTGAAATCTGTGTTGAATTCAAGAAGAGGATTCCCTATCTGCAAATATCAACATAGGAACCGGATAGCGTTTTTCATATTGAACAAATGTTTCTTTTATGAAACACTGACATAGACACTGGCCTTAAACGCAACAACAAAAGGGATAGGTTGAAATAAAATAGAAGTAATTGAATGTAATCAATGCTTCAGTGTCATTACACCAGACACACTTTTATATTTTTAATCTAAAGACTTGGCGCCACAAATAGTTTCTTATCTTATAATTTATTAAAGATGTTTCGTATATGTGTACGTACTGCTATTCCTTTGAGATTGATTTTGCTTTTGGTTTGAAGAATGAGTTGTGCAAGTTGAGGTGCATAGTGACCTAAACACAAGCATGCATTATCCACAACACAAGCTTCAACTTCAAAATGAAAATACTAAAAATTTAGAACACAGATACTTTACCTGCATAGCTCTCTCCAGTGATAAAGAAATCATTGTTTTTGTACTCTTGAAATTTAGTGAACCACTGTTGTAGAAAAACCAGGTTATCCTTTGCTGTATAACATAGAGCTAGTATCAAATCTTGAGCAATATGATATTGTAATCTGAATCCAAACAAAAAGAAGTTAAAAAAAAAAAAAAACCTGTCATTTCATCATTGACAAAGTCATAGAATGATTCATTGGTGGAGTAGGAGAAACCAACACCAGCTGGTGATTCCAAGTACAACATATTTGCCTCTGCAAAAAGTAGGAAATGGAAAAGCAATTTTGAGTAAATAAGCACAAATGATTATCAAAATTCAGCTCAAATACAATGGAACTGCAAAGTTTCTGAATTACCTTTGTTCCAACTGTAATCATTTTTAATAAGACCATTTTTAGTTGGTTTGAATGGTCCATGCTCCACAAAAGCACCAGCTCCAACAGATGAACAACCAGGCCCTTCAAAAATCCACAAAACATCTTAACTTCTTCAACTGAATTTTATTAGTTTATTCAGATTCCAAAAAGAAAAAGTTTTACCATATTCATAATAGGCTAATAGTCTATGTTACAAACAATTTACATTAAAGATTTGTCTGATGTTCGATACAAGTTGGTCCCGTCATAGCATCAAAACGAGGTTACCGGTTGGTTACATTTAATCACTTAAATTTTCTCAAATGTTTAACTATGACTATATGTCATGTTCGATATTTGTGTGTGTGTCAGTGTTTCATAGCTACATACCTCCATTTAACCAAAGCACTAATGGTTTAGAAGCCGGTTCAACTTCTGCTTCAACAAAGTAGTAAAACAAAGCTTTGTTCTGCACTTCATCAACTGTAATGTAACCAGCATATTGCTGGAATTCTACTTTTGGCTGCTGAGGTAAACTGCTTATCTTATCAAATTCTGAAAAGGAATTTACTCCTTCAATGATTTGTGTTGTAACAACAATTATTATCGTTGCAATTAAAGAGCATGAGTGAATCTGAGACATCATGGTAATAAGATCTGACTCAGAAGTTGTTGATTCTGTTTCTGTACTAAACTAGTAATAAAGATATGTGAATGAAGAAGGAATTTAATAATGATAAATATTTATTATATACCCGCTCCACTCTTATGACAAAAGATTCTTTTGCTGGTTTATTGAATAATTGATGAATCTGATCTACATAGAAATTAGATATAATATTATTTAATAAATTTAAAAAGAGAATTTTTATTTAGAATATATATATATATATATATATATATATATATATATATATATATATATATATATATATATATATATATATATATATATATATATATATATATATATATATATATATATATATATATATATATATATATATATATATATATATATATATATATATATATATATATATATATATATATATTTGTGTTTATGTGAACATGGAAATTGGATCCACGAATCTACACTAGAGACAAGTTTTGGTGCTGACCCCAATGTCTCGAGTCTTGGAGATTCATTGGTGGTGCTACTCTTATTTTCAATGTAGTAGTATTTCTTTTGATTAAATATATATCAAGCAAATAATTTATCTCAATGTGTAACATGATAGAAAATCTGACTTTAAGTTCTTAAAATGGAGATTTTGTCATTACTTGTGTATAGTATCTGACTTTAAGTTCTTAAAATGGAGATTTTGTCATTACTTGTGTATAGTATATACAATCACTGTGTGTACCCATTATGTTCACGAGCTAAGATTATTTGCTTGAGATAAAATTTCCAAGTAGAAATTTTCTTTTTGAGTTTTTGATAATTTGCTTGAGATGAAATTTGTTGGTGGTGGTATTTTAGAAATGGTATATGATTAAATATATTGTTGCAGATTTTGAAGGTTGTACTTTATTGGTGGTGGTTGTACTTTAAAATATTATGATTTTATTAAATTCACTATACACTCTTTTTTTCTTTTGCTAACAACTTAACATTAGAAAACCTTTATATAGACTTGAAGGAAACTAACAGAGAATACAATAAGTTGGTAATTAAGATGAAGACTCTTTAGTTCTTTTAATCTTAATGATACAACTCTACCATAAATCTAAATAAAGACAATAATCATAATGTGATTGTTACAATTCTCTCATAATGTTTACTAAAGATAGTGGTGATTACAATACATTAATTTTAACACTCCCCCTTAATGTGTTGTTCTTTAACTCTCATTGCTTCTCTAAGTTGCTGAAATCTTCATCTTAGTAGTGTTTTAGTAAAAATGTTTGTAAGCTGCTCTTGTGAACTACATAAAGCTAATTGCACATCTCCATTTTCAATCATACTTCGAATGAAGTGATGCTTTATGTTAATGTGTCTGGTTTGACTATGAAAAACATGATTGTTTGTCATGGCAATAGCTGATTTGTTGTTACAATGAAGTTGTAGACTTCCCTCTTGCTTCTCTCTAATGTCTTCTAATGTTCTTCTAAATCAAAGTGATTATTGTGTAGCCAAATCAGCTGCTAAATACTCAGCTTCAGCTCAAGATTGCGCTACAATATCTTTGCTTCTTTTAGCACCAAGAGATCACACCTGAACCAAGGTTGAATACATAACCTGAAGTGTTATTCATATCATCAACACTTCCATCCCAGTCACTATCACAATATCCTATAACTTCAAGTTTAGAATTCTTCTCAAATCTCATTCCATGTTCCATGGTTCCCGTGACATACCTTAGAACTCTTTTTGCTGCCCCAAGATATAAATGACTTAGTTTACTCATGAATCTTGAGAATAAACTAGAAGAAAACATTAAATCGGACCTTGAAGTTGTAAGATAAAACAATTTTCCCACCAAACTTCTATACATGCTTGCATCTACTAATATTCTACCATCTTCCTTCTTTAATTTTTCATTCACCACTAAAGGAATATCAACAGGTTTAATGATGCAGCAAGCTAAGATCACTCGTCTCATATTTTTTCATCATTTCTATTTTAAAATTTTTAATCATTTTCTTGTTGTTACTCGTATACACCAAATCATCGACATAAAGGGCAACAAGAATGATATCATCTTTACCTTGATGTTTCACACACAAGGTAGACTCACTTTGACTTCTTTGAAATCTTTGTTGAATGAAGTAGCTGTCCATTTCACTATACCACGCTCTAGGGGCTTGTTTAAACCCATAAAGAGCTTTCTTCAAATTGTAAATTTTTTCCTCTTGGCCTTTAGTAATAAATCCTTGAGGTTGCTGCACATACACCTCTTCTTTTAATTCTCCATTCAAGAAATACGACTTCACATCAAGTTGGTACAAATTTCAACCTTTTTGAGATGCTAACGCAATGATTGTTCTCACGGTGTCCAAACGTGCAACCAGAGAAAAAGTCTCACTATAGTCAATTCCAGGCTGTTGTGCATAACCTTTGACTACTAATCTAGCCTTGGCTCTTTGGATTGAACCATTTGATTTATGTTTAAATTTGTACACCCACTTTACTCCAATAGCTTATTTGTTATTTGCCTTTTCAACTAGCTGCCATGTGTTGTTCTTCTCAATTGCATTTATTTTTTCTTGCATTGCATTCCTCCAAACATTTTCTTTGATTGCTTCATTAAAATTTTCTCGTTCCACAACACAATAGTTGCACCTTGCATAAATATCACTCAAATCCTTCAATTTTATTGGAGTTGAGATGGGAGATGATGAACTTGAAATTGGTGAACTTGGAGAGGATGAAGAACTTGGTGTGCATGGGGTTGGTTGCTTATTTTCAGCTGCTAAATTTTGTTGTAATAAAATTGGAGGGACTGTTTTCTCATTCATTTCGTCTTCTACCCAATTCCATGAAGTTTTCTCATCAAATACAACAGCTTAGCTACTGATCACCTTGTTTGTATTCAAGTTGTAAAGTCTATAGCCCTTTAACATGAAACTATAACCAATAAAGACACATATTTCACTTATTTCTTCCAGCTTTGTCCTCTTTTGTTTAGGAATTTGGGCATAGGAAACACACCCAAAAACCTTAAGGTGGTTAACTGAAGGTGTTCTTCCACTTCAAGCTTCAAATGGAGTCTTATTCCATACAGCCTTTGTTGGAGATCTATTTAGCAAATACACAACAGTATTAACAGCCTCGGGCCAAAAGGTTTTAGGCAAACCTTTCTTAAGTAGCATAGACTTTGCCATCTCCATCACGGTTTGGTTCTTTATTTCAGATATACCATTTTGCTGAGGTGTATAACCAACAATGAGTTGTCTTTCAACACCTTCATCTTCACAAAATTTGTGAAATTTATTTTAGATGCACTCTTTCCCCCGATCACTTCTCAACATTTTTATAAACCTACCACTTTGTTTCTCAATAAAAGCTTTAAACTTCTTAAAAATTAAAAAAAAAAACTTCATATTTTTGTCTCATAAAATATACCCATGTCATGCAGGTAAAATCATCAACAAACAAGATAAAATACTCGTTTTTCCATGAGACAAAGTATTCATAGGGCCACACACATTTGTGTACAAGTTCCAACACTTGTTTGGCTCACCATGCTCCTTCCTTTGGAAATGGTTGGTGGTGGTGTTTGCCAAGCATACATCCTTCACACACACCAGATTTTTCTTCAATTATTGGCAGCCCATGCACCATCTTCTTTTGATAAAGCAACTTGAGACTATTATAGTTTAAGTGCCCAAGTCTAATGTTCCATAAACAAAAGTCATTATCTTTTCTAGCCATCATGCTGAAAATTTTCTCATAATTAAGAGAAAGTGGAAAGCTTTTATTGCTGGTCATTTTTACAACAACAACATTTCTTCTCTTTGAATAAAAAATTGTGCGCTCTCGATTCTCAAATTTTAGAGAATAACCATGCTCCAAAAGTTGTCCAATGCTTAGCAAGTTCTCATTTAACTCTGGTACATAAAGAGTGTCATGAATGACTTTTCTTCCTTGCTTTGTCGTAACTCCAATGCTTCCTTTTTCTTTTACTTCAACATGTTCTTCATTTCCCAATTTAACTTTTGAATCAAATGAAGAATCAATGTTGATAAAAGCTTCTTTCTTTCCGGTCATATGATTGCTACAATCGCTATCTAAATACCACACATTTTTATCTTCTTGGAATGCTTTTTGACAAGCAAAGAACAAATTACCTTCATCATTTTCTCCTTTTGCAAATGAAGGATGTTGTTGATTGGAAAAACGAAAATCGTTTTGAATGTGCCTAAATATCTTGCAATTGTGGCGTTGTGGTTTGCCCTTATTCCAGCAATCCTTCTTGTCATGAGAATTACTCTTACAAATTTTGCACCATTTATTTGATGCTCCTTCATGCCATCTTTTGCCGTTCGCGCTTCTTCTTATTCCTTGTGAGTTTCTTCCTCTGCCTTTGCCTCTTCCAAATCTTTCACCTTTAGAAGACTCACCTCTATTTTGTATTGGGTGCTTATTTTCACCATTGTTGGGCTGAATGTTAAGTTTAGATTGAAAGGCACTCTTAATTGATTTTTCAGAGTGTCGTAACAAACTTTTCTCTTAAAACCTCAAAGACCCCGTCAACCCTTGAACAAACATAGTTGGTAGGTCCTTAGTTTCTTTTATAACAGCCATCATAAGATCAAATTTTTTTGTCAAACTAATTAGAATTTTATCAACAATTATGCGATCATATATTGTATCTCCATGTGACTTCATTTGATTCACCAATTCAGAGATCCTATTAAAGTATTCATTCAAACTCCCATTCTCTTTAATTCTTTCATTTTCATAGTCTCTCTTAAGAGATTGAAGTTTCGCAGATCTCACCTTTGATTCTCCTTCAAACTCTTGTTGTAGAATATTCCATACTTCCTTTGGTGTTTTTGCTCTCATGATCCTTAGGAAAATGGATAGAGAGACTCCACTTTGAATCATCCCCAGAACTCCAGCATCTGTGATCTTCTTCTTCTTCAACTCTTCAAGTCGTTGGCTTGATTCTTCAGCCTTTTCTTTTTATTCTCCAACCT